ACTATGATAATGTTTGTCTGTAACATTAAAGCAGCTTTTATATCATTGTGTATCAAAGGGCGTTTGTCTTGAGGTCTCATACCTTACTGTATCCACTTCTGGAGGTTCTGCTGCTTCTGCTGACCTGCTGCCTGCTGTGAGAAGAAACCACTCCTGCAAATCCAGCCGATGACAGTTTACTCTGGCCGGGTCTGTAAATCTCAGCTGTGGGCCTACTGGCTTTGCTGCGTGCTCTGCCCTGATGGGATCCAACTTCTAGAGGGTCTTCAGCAATGAAGTCATCATCCATCTCTGGCTTGATATCAATTACGGCCTCTGAGGAGAGGGGTTCTACTAGGGGTTTGACAGTGGAGGTGAGTCGTGAAGAGCTCTTCTCCAATGGACCCCTCCTGCTGATAAATACAACTATTAGAATTAATTACAATGAAATATAACACAGCTCCTAGTGTCAGCACAGAAACACTTCCACATCCTGAGGTACCTGCTGCTTTCATGTGCAGAACTTGACACACATGCTTCAATCCTGTCAGAATGACCACTGGAGATGGTCAACAGCTTCAGCTCTCCTGTGCTGCTGTCTTGACTTCCTAATGACCTTCTTCTCCCAGTTGCCACAATGATCTCAGATGGGATCTGATCGTTGACTGAGGTAGGCTCTAAGACAGAGAAGAAAAAAAACAAAAACCATGCTGGTTGTCATTTCATCCACTTAGACAACCCACAGTCAATCAAAAGAGTTAACATTTTCTTAGTCAAACCTTGGCAGAATTACAGAAAGAAAGAAGGGACACGGAAAATAAAAAAAGCACATTCTCTTAATACACTTGTGCACAAATTCTATCACTTAACAACAACTTACCAACTGCTACAGAGCGTAACTTCTCCAGGACTCCATGTAACCTAGAAAACATTTAAATGTTATATAAAAAACGTATAAAATACTAACAAAGAACAACTGATGCTTGCTTTAGTAGGATCAATACAACGAAATGTGAAACAAACGTAAACGTACCAGGCTGTGAACTTAATTGTATTGTTTCCAAGAAAGAGAGAGAGATCTTCAGCCATCTGCTGAGAGGTTTTCTTGTTTGCCACCATCACCATTATGTAATCGGGAAGTTCTTCATCTATAATTAATAGAAAGATAAGTCTATAAAAATGAATCTCTCAATGTCAACACAACATAAACAAACGTACTTCTCTTACCAATGTAAGCACCGAGTTCCTGGAGCTTTCCCTTGATAGCAGTCTAAGAAACAAGATCAGATTTGCCGTTACTGTATAGTTACCCCATGACTTAGTCAAACAACTAATTTCGGAGTCTTCTTTGTCCTTGAAAATAAAGCCTTGTTTTACGGACTCATGTGTTAAGCTATCAAGCTAATGTTAAAATACACGACTCAGGTTTGCAAATACAGTTTGCAGTAACAACTCGGTCTGATTAAAATATATAACTCAGTCACGTGTGGTACCTACTCTTATTTTCTTGCTGATTTCTGTCCCAATTTCCATGTTTGACGATTATTTGTAGCAAGCAATGCATAAACGGAAAACGTTTCTTGAGCTATGCCGCTAGCAACCGCTGTGAACTGTGACGTCAGATGACTCGGTATGGTAAGCGAATGGGATCAAAAATTAGATGCGAGTTTTCATACCCAGTATATAATGACACATTACTTAAACCCCATAGTGTTACGGTTGAATACACTAAATAAAAAACAAAAACAAAATACAAATTCGATTCACCATAAATAGCTTCAGATAAAATGAAAGTAAAGGCAAATATATACAGCACCTCAAATTAAAAAATTCAGTGCGGTTGCATTTTCATTTGACCACTGTGCGTCGCTGTAACATTCCCTGCTGTGACGTCACATCAGTCAATGTTCATAGTCAGTGTGAGAGCGTGTGTTCCTCGCCGGGAGCAGTGGCTCGCTCCTATAATCCAAGCTGCTGGGAGGCTGAGGCTGGCGGATGGTTTGAGCTCAGGGGTTCTGAGCTGCAGCGGACTGTGTCGAGCGGGTGTCCGCACTAAGTTCGGTATCGATATGGTTCTCCTGGGGGAGCTCGGGAGATCCAGGTCGTCTAAGGAGGGGTGTACCGGCCCAGGTCGGCAACGAAGCAGGTCAAAGCCCCCGTGCCGCTCAGTAGTGGGATCGCGCCCGTGAATAGACGATGTAGTTCTGCCTGAGTAATACAATCAGACCCAGTCTTTTTACACTTAAAATAATTCACACATAATAATTCACATTACATTTTAAATTGACAAAGAGACCCTTTATAATGTAAACCTACATTTATAAAGAAACATAATAGGTATTTAAAATCAATATTACTTCCAAAAACCCTCACCAGATGGCACAAGAGACCACAAAGTATTACCATTCCGTTTCTCCAGCCCAGCATTGAATTTAATAATATTAAAAAAAAAACCCCAAAAAGACAAACAAAACAGAAAAAACCAAGGTGTAATATTCAAGACAGGTTGAAGTAGTCACAACGAAGTCAATGTTAAAGAGCTGCGGGCTAATTCAGTCTGTTGTTGATTGAAAAAAACATGTTTGTCAGTATCAAAATGAAAATTACTTAAAATTAAAATAATGCCTTGAAGAACATGACTCTGACTTTCTGGTGTTTGTACATGCAATATTTTTACCTCTCTCGCAGATATTATTTCCTGTTTTGCAGCCCTCAATGCCAACCAACAATGACGGGAAGGATCTTACGCTGTGTCTAGACAAGTGTCTAAAACTCTGAGCAGACTGCTGTCTGCCGTGTCTCTGTTTGCTTTGCTCACAGTGTCAGGGCTGACTAATTGTTTGATTCCTGAAAACATTTACTCTGTCTCTTATTGCCATATTAATGATGACACATACTGTAAATGTGCTGTTATCTGTCATTGGTTCATGTAATTCCATTAGGATCACCTTTGTAATGTTTCACCAGACTGTGTGAAAAAATCCAGTGTTGCTTAAAATGATATTTGAAAAATGAGTGACTGATGTGAAGGTGGAACCGATGCAGCTTTTTGACTGTGAAATAAAAGACAACTTTCAATATTTCAAACAAATCCTCAAATTCTGAGTGCTCTGTGGAGCGGTTGATTATTTCTGTATTGCTTGATTGGATTAGCAGTGTGACGGGAATTGCAAAACCCTACAGTATATCAGCACAGACGAAACAAGTTTAACGCAGCACTTTTGCAAACAGCCAATTAACAAAGGAGTGCAAATGGCTGCTTTTTTCTTTGTTACTCTTTGACTACGTTGTGAATAAACAGGACGCAGTGTGTTAATTAGAAACCTCTGTTGTTTTGTTGATGCTAGGTGCTTCTCATCAAGTGTAGCTACAACACGTCCACGTCCAGATCCAGTCTTATCATCACGGCCGGGGACTGTACGAGTAAAAGAAGAAGAAGAAGAAGAAGAAGAAGAACAACAACAACAACAAAAAACAACCGTAAAAATGTTTGAAGGTTTCCTTCCTTTACTTTACTTTGCAAATCTTATTTCCAGCCATGTTTCCATAGCACACATATCTCACGTTGTTATGTTACTTCAAGTGTTGTAAACCTTAGTATGAAAATGCTGTAGGAGTTAAAATATTTACAATTTACCTTATAATTACTCGTTACAATAAGAAAATACAAAGAGTCAAATTAAAAGTCACAAACTATTGAATTTAGTTGAAACAAAGTAAAATATGATAACGTTGGTTTAAGTAAATATATGCACATTACACCAGTGCTTCTACTTGTAACAATTCCAAAAATATTTGCTCTGTCTCACGTGGCACTAAAACTGGTACTTTCTGGAACCACATGCAGAGAATGTGAGAATATCTAACAACTAGGACTTTAAAAACTCCCAAGAGTGCCAAGATTGGTACGCATACCCCAGTTTGAGAACCACCGACTGACTTCCAGTGCAACTTGCACTCAGTTACCATCGGTACTGTACACGTGCTATGATGGGGCTTGTTTTTGCTCCTCTCTGACATGTTGTCACGCACTGACAAGCTGCAGCTGTAAATCAACTGATAAACTTCCACGAATCCTTCCACCACCACAGTTCCATCTCTTTCTGACCCGCCGACACGGTGCAGTACTCAGAAACATGTCTACTCCTTCGGTGTCAAGTTGCAGCTTGGCCGAGAAGGCTTCTGCCTCCAGGCTGGTACAGGATAGGAGAAAGGAAGGAAAGGTAGAGGTTACCGGGGGACGGTGGGGGAGTGTGGGGGGGCTCAACAAAGATGTGCATAGGAAGATAAGTCATTGCACCTGCTCTGACAATGTCCAGAAACCTAACACTGCCTTTCCTGGCCAGCATGACACCTGTATGAATGAAGCGGCTGCAGCTGGTTGTCAGCACACAATCACACTTTCATACCGCACACTTATACACACACACACACACACACACACACACAATCAGGGGGAAAAAAACGGCATGAGCACGGAGTCAAACGGCGGAACAGCTGCTCAGATTTTGTGCACAAGCAGCGAGACAGATGAAGTGATGACGGACGAGCTCCAGTGAAATTCTTGGTTTGCTGCGGATGAGAAAAAACAAGAAAGAAAAAAAGAGAGAACACACACCACCGAGATCTTTCCAATGTCCAATTAAGCCCATTTGTAGCCAAGTGAATCAGGCAAGATCCAGGAGTGTAAGGGTTAACTCCGATCTGATTCACAACATCTGACTGGCAGAGCTTTTACTCGTTACATTGGCGAGGAAGTGAAGGCCCATTAAGATTTACAGCCGCTCTAATCACAGATGCCAAACCTGCTGGAGAGTCAGTGGAGGGACTCAGTGACTCAACTCCTGGGTCTCGCTCGCTCTCCGTACCGAGGCTGGTCTCACAGCTGGAAACATTTTTAAACAAGCATCCAGCTACAGTAGACCTCGCAGGTCAAGGTTCGATTTCATACCAAATTGGACTTTCAGGGAATTAAACAGCCAGAGTGGGACAGAAAGTTTGCCTTCATTATCTTTCCTGAACCTTCAACTGCAGATTGAAATCCTATGACAAACTGAATAAATAATAAATGAACTCCTGTCCGTTTGGTCCCAACAATCGGTGTGTAGTTTAGCATTAGCATAAAGAGTTTAAGGGCAGTCAAAAGGAGCTGGACAAAATGTATAGAAGGAAGATTAATGACCATTAATGATCAATGACCTTTTTGCGGTCAGTTAAAATACTAGCTAGCTGCCTCACTCGGCTGGTATTGAGACGTAGCACAAGATTAAATAAATGGTACCAAACCATGACCACGAACCATGGCTTGACCGAACCATGTTAAATACTGACTTAAAACAGTAAAAGTAAAAAACTGAACATTACCCGACCTCAGCACAAAAATAAACATTGTTTTCGTGGAAGTTGATTGGTTGAGTTTCTCTCTGATTTGAATGGACCGATTGACCTAATAATCCTGTCATTATTGCAGCAGAGTACATAAACGAGGAGTAACACGATGATTACGTCTTCTGGTTTTACTTCATTAGGAATTGAGCAACTCACACATTCCTCGTTACGAACCAGAAGTGGTTTTCCTTTTATTGTGTAGTTTGTTTTGAAGCGAGAGACCAATAAAATTGTGTTACACCATTGTTGAGGCACACTTCCATTTGTGGAAGAAGCAAACAGCCCTCACAACAAAAGGAATATAAGGCTCAAGTCACAGTGATGAATAATGAACAACATTAAATCCTGCAGTACCAACAAACGTGTGTATTTGTTTGTTTACATTATCATTAGGTTTCTCCTTCCCACAGAAAGTTGATGATTTTCACAAGTTGAATGCATTTTGCGGCAGATGGGTGGGTCCAAACGTTTGAAGACGTGTCCATTTGCAATGAGACGTGTCTCTCAGATACGTCGGACAGTTTTGTCAGAGTTCTGTTGTGTTTTGTTTAAACTTGAAACATTTGAGAAGAACCTTGAAGAGATCTGGTTTTATTTCCGTACAATAACACAGCAGCGGTAATGTGATATTTACACAACTCTGTTAGTAGGACTAGCCTGATCTTTGGACCAGTTTTGTTCACTTCTCCAGGTCTGCATTAATGACCATCGCAGGTTCAGTTTGCAGCTACCCAGGACTTCAGCACATCTTGGCACACCTCACCATCAGAGTCCCGTAACAACCTCCACTGATTGTATGTGCAGCTGGTTGGCTCCAACAACTGTATTTTTCCTCCAGCAGAATTGACAACACATGTGGCTTCCCTTTGTTTGTAAGGAGTTAAACCCCTGACTTTTCTCCATGGACCTGGTGTTGGCAGACCTCGACCTCAGGTCGAAAAATGTTTCATAAAGACACACAAAATAAAAATGTAAAAAGTACCACTCCATCCTGCAGTGTGGCTGGCTGTGCAGACAGACAAAGCCTTTCCTTTGCTGGTAGTTGGTGAAGCACATCACGTTCAGGCTGTTTCAACCAGTAATCTCCTTAAAGAGACAGAACACGGGAGATAATGTGCACCATTGTGAAAGTAAATCTCAGGGAGGGGCGGGGGGGTGGGGGTGGGTGGGGTGACATGCTGTGAGCCTGTTTGGCTTTAATTAGAGCATTAGCAGGAAGCCAAGCCGTGCCTTTCATCAGTGGACCAAAGGTTTGACAATGACATTCCCTGCA